ATAAAAACACAATATTAGACATCCTTTCCTTCTTGTGTGTGTGCATGTTATCATAGACAAATCCCCCCTTTTTTGCATCTAAGGGTTCCCAGGCAAATGCGACAGTAGTGACTGGCATGGTGAGGCAGAGCTGCCGAGCTGCCCTCTCAACCACAACATGACTAGATCTTACCTGAACAGGGATGAGGTGAAGCTGAGCAGTGGCTGCACAGGCAAACCATTGGGGCCAATCCATAACTCCAGCAATTGCATCCACAAAACCCTGACCTCATCATCACTGGCCCAAGCCCATCCAGGTAGGTTGTAGCAATGCCTCTCTCAGGAGCATGACTGCACCTCACTATACTTGCTGCTATTGATCATCAGGCATTGCGTCTGTGGTTTGCTGGGAAAATTCTGGAGGCGCATTATTTCAAGCCCATGAAGCCCATTGTTTCGAGTCATCAAACGGAGGTACACTTAGAGTGAGTGCAGTGTTGGTTGAGACGGTTTCATATATGAGCCTCTAGTGCAGTTAGACAAATGGTGAGTTCCGGGTTGAATGACACACTAAGCCAAATCATGTCTTATCTCACAGCTGTGCAGCAGGACCAGAACAGGAAGAGGCGCAATGTGGACACAGTCTCTTCTCTGGGGGCCTGCACACTTATATACCCATACTAAGCCTCTGTTTGGTCTTAGCACTGTGTACAGATCAGCTCTGTGTCTGTTGGCCTTTGAGTTGTGTTTGCAAGTCAGGCCTGTGCAAGAATTCTTACGTTCTCGGCTTTAGGTCTTTTTCTTATTAAAGTCAAATGAAATAAATTGGAAGGTACCTTTTGAATTCCATTGCATTCTTGCCTTGAGTTTTTGTCCTATTCAGAACACTCTATTTATTGAGTTCCTCTATGAATAAAATGTGTTTGAAGAAAACATGCTGAAAGCTCAGCCAACCCTCATCTATACACACACAGCCAGGAACTTCACAATAATAGAGTCACAATAATAAATCGTTCCTTCTTCGCATCTGCCTGTTTCCTTCATTGTGCCTCTTTTCCAGTGGGGAGAGATAAAGAACTTACATATCTTTTTGCAGTGCATTTTCATTATTGATGGCAGGAATAAATCATTGGTGATTAAAATCGGTGGAGAGCTTGGTCTGTTAATTTGTGAAGTTAAGGCTACACACTTACCTAGGAGTAAGTTCCATGGAATTCAGTGGGGTTTCATAGAATCATAGAATCATAGAGTTGGAAGAGACCACAAGGGCCATCGAGTCCAACCCCCTGCCAAGCAGGAAACACCATCAGAGCACTCCTGACATATGGTTGTCAAGTCTCTGCTTAAAGACCTCCAAAGAAGGAGACTCCACCACACTCCTTGGCAGCAAATTCCACTGTCGAACAGCTCTTACTGTCAGGAATTTCTTCCTAATGTTTAGGTGGAATCTTCTTTCTTGTAGTTTGGATCCATTGCTCCGTGTCTGCTTCTCTGGAGCAGCAGAAAACAACCTTTCTTCCTCCTCTATGTGACATCCTTTTATATATTTGAACATGGCTATCATATCACCCCTTAACCTCCTCTTCTCCAGGCTAAACATGCCCAGCTCCCTTAGCCGTTCCTCATAAGGCATCGTTTCCAGGCCTTTGACCATTTTGGTTGCCCTCCTCTGGACACGTTCCAGTTTGTCAGTGTCCTTCTTGAACTGTGGTGCCCAGAACTGGACACAGTACTCCAGGTGAGGTCTGACCAGAGCAGAATACAGTGGCACTATTACTTCCCTTGATCTAGATGCTATACTCCTATTGATGCAGCCCAGAATTGCATTGGCTTTTTAGCTGCCGCGTCACCCTGTTGGCTCATGTCAAGTTTGTGGTCAACCAAGACTCCTAGATCCTTTTCACATGTACTGCTCTCAAGCCAGGTGTCACCCATCTTGTATTTGTGCCTCTCATTTTTTTGCCCAAGTGCAATACTTTACATTTCTCCCTGTTAAAATTCATCTTGTTTGTTTTTGCCCAGTTCTCTAATCTGTCAAGGTCGTTTTGAAGTGTGATCCTGTCCTCTGGGGTGTTAGCCACCCCTCCCAGTTTGGTGTCATCTGCAAATTTGATCAGGATGCCCTTGAGTCCATCATCCAAGTCGTTGATAAAGATGTTGAATAAGACCGGGTTTACTTCTTAGTAGACATGTTTGAGGGTGCCTTTGGCAATGTTTCCATTGCTAAATATCAAACAGGTAGGGGTGTGGGTGGGTGTTAGTATAGCTCCAGCCGGCATGGCTGTGTTTTCCAAAACTTCTTGAGAGCTCCAGGTTGGCAAAGGCTAGACCCATTCTCTCGTTTTATCAGAATACAAGGAGGAGCTATGGTTCAGTGAGAGAGAGCACCTGCTTTGCATTAATAGAATCACAGAACTGTAAAGTTGGAAGTGACCCTGGGGTCATCTCGTCCAACCCCCTGCAATGCAGGAATCCCAGCTAAAGCATCCATGACAGATGGCCATCCAACCTCTGCTTAAAAACCTCCAAGGAAGGAGAGTCCACCACTGTGGCAATCACACAGGGTCCCTGGATGTTTAACGGTCTATTGATCCCTGTGCCACCACTGTGCTCGCTTCCCCACTGCCACCAGCCAGTTACTCTCTGGTAAAACACTGAGTCCAGTCAGTTGTTAAAAGTGAACCAAAAAAAACAAGTTTATTTTACAAACATTAACAAATTTATGGTTTCTCGGATAATATTCCTGTCAGTATCTTAACTTTAGTTTCTTTACCAGACTATACCTTCCTAATACCTTCTGACTGATTATCTCAACTGTTTGACTGACTCCTCTTAACAAATTCTCTCACTCTCTCCCACCAGACTAGCCCAACCACAGACTTTTCTTATCTGTCTCTTCTAACTCCAGACTGTCTTCTCAACAACTCTAACTCTCTAAAAAAACAATCTCTGTGCTTAAACCTTATACACAGTTAACTCTGCCCCCTGGGTTCCCATTGGTTAGTCACTTTACAATTATTTAACCCTTTCCCTATGAACCCAGTACAATGTCACACACATAGGAGAGCAAATGCCACAACCACCTTCCAAGGGAGACCATTCCACTGTCGAACAGCTCTTCCTGTCAGAAAGTTCTTCTTGATTTAGAAGGTCTCATTTCCAGTAGCAGCCAGTGTGGTGGAGTGGCATTGCTCAGCTGGGTTCCCAGTGTAGAGGTTACTGGTGGTAACTAGGAGGGGTGAGGCATAGAGGTGGTCACCACAATTCAGGCACAGCATAAGGAGTGCTGAATTGTGGCTGCTGCCATGGCTGCCACTCTCTGGTCTCCCTACCACCTTGTCCCTCTTGGTTACCCGCGGTTGCCTCTGCACTGGGAAGCCAGGTGAGCAATGATGCCCCACTCCGCTCCACCAGCTGCACCTGCCAGGTTCAATCCTTAGTATCTCCAGTTAAAAGGAACAGATAGCAGGTGAAGTGAAAGACCCCAGCATGGAACCCTGTAGGCCCTTGGCAATGTGTTGGCATCCGTCTGTCTTGAAAGACAATGGAGTAAGCTTCCAAGGGTGAAGTCAAACCACTGTGTTAGCATCATCCAATGACTTCCCTGAGGGGTAAGCCTGATGAGTGCATATAGAGGTCCTGGCCTGCCCAGACAACAAGACTCCTTAGCATCTTCTTCTCCTGAAGATGTCCTGCAAGGGAGCACGATTTTAGTATAAGTGTTTTCCTTCTCTGGATCACCTACCTGTTTGATATTATTTATTTATTTATTTATTTAATAATTTTTTTATTGAACAATTTCAACATAACAAATTATCAATCCGTTTAATCAATTGCAATATTTCCCCCCTTTCTCCCCCATCCCTCCCTCTCCCTTTCACCAAAGACATCCCTCAGCTCCCCTCTCTGATTTCTTTACACATTTCGTTCTCTGCATATTATAAAATTGTACATATCTTTGTTTTGTCTATCATATGTTCACCTAATAACTTTGTGGATGTTTATTCAAAACCTGTCAAGGAATCCAGTTCATTTTGTTGTCTTTTTAGATACAGTGGTGCCTCGCAAGATGAAATTAATTCGTTCCGCGAGTTGTTTCGTCTAGCGAATTTTTCGTCTTGCGAAGCACGAAATCCCATAGGAATGCATTGAAATTCAATTAATGCGTTCCTATGGTCAAAAAAAGTCCAAACAAAGCCAAATTTGGTACAACAAGAGTTTATTAAGTGCTCTTTAAAGTCACACATACTGTAAAGAGCATTTCAAAAATTGAAGGAACAATAAATTAAGTTTCTAAACATGACAGAAAAACATTTAAAAATCAACAAAGTGTACAGTACATTTTCTAAGACTCTGGGGACCACTCGAAGAAGGTTCCTCTTCCACTCTTTGCTTCTTGCTGAAGAACCTGTCCATGGTCTGCTGCTTCATCCGCCTTTTCAGCACCTCCCTGAAAGGCGACATGACCCTCGTATCAAAAGTGTTCACAAGGTCATGTGCCACGTGCTTGTCAGGGTGGTGCCGCTGTGCAAAAGCCTGCACATCCTTCCACTTCATGCAAATGTCCCTCAGTTCTTTGGAGGACAGCCGTTCCTCAGTTGCTTCCTCCTCTTCCAGCGAGGCCTGCTCCTGCGCAGCCTCTGCCTGCAGTTCGACCAGCTCCTGGGTGGTCAGCTCGTGGTCGTGCTCCTCCACCAGCTCGCTGATGTCCTCCTCTGTGACCTCCAGGCCCATGGTCCTCCCCAAGGCAACAATGTCCTGCACCACTGTTGACTCTGGTGCATCAGAGTCACTTGGTGCCACACAGTCCGGCCACAGGCTGCGCCAAGCGCAATTCAAATTTCTCTGGCTGATCCCGTTCCAGGCCGTGGTGATCATCTTCAAGCAGGTGACGATGTCGAAGTGGTCCTTCCAGAATTCCCGCAGGGTGATGGTGGTGCAATCAGTCACCTCGAAGCATCGCCTGAAAAGCTCCTTGGTGTAGAGTTTTTTGAAATTGGCGATGACCTGCTGATCCATCGGCTGGAGCAGTGGCGTGGTGTTAGGCGGCAGGAACATGATGCTGATGAAGCTGAACTCCTCCAACAAGTCCTCCTCAAGGCCTTTAGGATGAGCAGGAGCATTGTCCATCAGAAGCAAAGCCTTCAGCGGCAGGTCGTTGTCCAGCAGGTACTGTTTGACAGCAGGGCCAAAAGCAAGATTGACCCAGTCCACAAACAGCACACGTGTGACCCAAGCCTTACTGTTGGATCGCCACATGACACTCAGCTGCTCCTTGTCGACCTTGTGTTTCTTGAAGGCCCGTGGGTTCTCCGAGTGGTACACCAGCAGGGGCTTGATCTTCAGGTCGCCGCTTGCGTTGGCACAGAAGAGCAGGGTCAGACGGTCCTTCATGGGCTTGTGGCCAGGCAACTTGGCCTCCTCCTGTGTGATGAAAGTCCTTTTGGGCATCCTCTTCCAAAACAGCCCAGTCTCGTCGCATTGAAGACCTGCTGTGGAACGTAGCCCTCCGTCTTCACAGCCTCCAGGAACTCCGCTGCAAAGTCTTCAGCCGCAGGAACATCAGAACTGGCAGCCTCTCCATGCCTGACCACGCTGTGGATTCCAGATCTTGCCTTGAACCGGTCAAACCAACCTCTGCTTGCCTTGAAGACTTCTGGCTCGCCTGAGGTTCCTGGCTGTTTCTGGACGAGGTCTGCGTGCAAGGCCTTGGCCTTCTCACAAATGACGGCCTCAGTCACTGTGTCCCCTGCACGCTGCTTCTCTTCTAACCAGATGAGCAGCAACTTCTCGACCTCCTCCAGAACAGCTGGGCGGTTCTTTATGATCCTGGTGACTCCCTTGGCTGCATCAGTCGCAAGGATCTTCTCCCTCATCTTCAGGATGGTCCCGATGGTCGATGGATTCCTCCCGTACTCCCTGGCGAGGTCTGTCACACGCATTCCACCGTCGTGCTTCCGGATGATCTCCTTCTTCATTTCCAGCGTCACCTTCTCCTTCTTCCTCTCGCCGGCCTCTGCAGCAGCAGTCTTCTTGGGTCCCATGGCAGCACAGCTCCTAGCTTCGCAAACTCAGAAAAAAAAAGAATCAGTGCTTCACATCCAAAAAATTCAAAAGCACCCAGCCACCCACCACACAGAAATTCAAACCCAGAACCAAGTCCTTGAATTCCAAACACCCAACCCAAAATCCAAAAACCCCCCAAAAAGTTTTAAAAGTTTAACTTACCAAATGGCTGCAAAAGAAGTTTTGGAAAAGCTTCAAAAATTGCCAAAGTCTTCAAAAACCTCAAAAAAAGGCTACCACACCGCGTGCTATGAGTTGCTCCTCGAAGTCAAGTCGCAACTGCACCTCTTCAAGCAATGCACCTTGGGTTTTAACGTTTTTACGAAAAAGGAAACAAACTTGCAAGACGTTTTCGTCTTGCGAAGCAAGCCCATAGGGAAATTCGTCTTGCGAAGCAGCTCAAAAAACGAAAAACCCTTTCGTCTAGCGAGTTTTTCGTCTTGCGAGGCATTCGTCTTGCGGGGCACCACTGTAGTTTGTAAAAAGCTCCCATTCTTCCTTAAAGTTACAGTTGTCCTTGTCCCGCAATTTGTACGTCAATTTAGCCAACTCTGCATAGTGAATCAATTTTTCTTACCATTGTTCTTTTGTTTGGATTTCCTCATTCTTCCATCCTTGTGCAATCAAGACTCTTGCCACTGTTGTAGCATACATAAATAAATTCTTTGTTTTTCTTGGCAGGTCTTGTCCTAACAAAAATGTTTCTGGTTTTTTAACAAATGTCATTTTAAACATTTTTTTTTCAATTCATTATATATCATTTCCCAAAAAAATTTAATTTCTCTACATTCCCACCACATATGATAAAAAGTACCTTCTTTTTCTTTACATTTCCAACATATGTTTGACCCAGTTTTGTACATTTTTGCTATTTGTACTGGTGTAATATACCATCTACACATCATTTTCATATAGTTTTCTTTCAAAAGAGAACAATCTGTAAATTTCAAATTTGCTTTCCACAATTTTTCCCAGTCCTCAAATTGTATACAGTGGTGCCCCGCAAGACGAATGCCTCGCAAGACGGAAAACCCGCTAGACGAAAGGGTTTTCCGTTTTGGAGGTGCTTCGCAAAACGAATTTCCTATGGGCTTGCTTTGCAAGCCGAAAATGTCTTGCGAGTTCCTGCGGGGGTTTTTTCCTTTCCCCCCCCTTTTTCCCAAGCCGCTAAGCCACTTATCAGCTGATCTGCTAAGCCGCTAAGCCGCTTAACAGCTGATCGCTAAGCCACTTATCAGCTGATCCGCTAAGCCGCTTAACAGCTGATCCGTTAAGCCACTAAGCTGCTTATCAGCTGATCCGCTAAGCCGCTAAGCCGCTTATCAGCTGATCCGCTAAGCCCGCTAAGCCGCTAATAGCGCTAATCCGCTAAACCGCTAATGGGCTTGCTTCGCAAGACGAAAAAACCGCAAGACGAAGAGACTCGTGGAACGGATTCTTTTCGTCTTGCGAGGCACCACTGTATTATGTCCAACATCTTGTGCCCATTTGATCACAACCGATTTAACCTCCTACCTGTTTGATATTTAGACCTATTTCTCTAAGGAAATAAGACACCAGCCCTTGTCTCTGGAGTTGACATAATTTACTTGCTTGGGTTTTCCAGATAATCCCAACAGTGTCACTGCCAGTCTTTGCATCCCAGTGTTATAACACTGGTTGCCTTTTAAGTCCCTGGTTTGTGGTGAGCTTTTCTGACATCTGATACAGCTGGAGGACCAGCTATTCAAGTATGGATTGGCAAAAAGCTATTGATCTGAAAAGAATGGTTTGTATGGCTTTATGACCACATCCGCCCCATACATCTAAAGCACTAATATTCCCCTTTAACAATTTTCAGAGTGGTTTAACCATCAGTCCTTCTCCCAGGGGAACTCTGAGGATTGCAGCTCTTTGAATGGAATTGGAGTTCTCACTTCCTGGAGGGAGGACATGGCTGTTCAAAGTGGTGCAATGCTGCTTTAAATGTATGGTGAAGATGGGGCCTTAAATACATTTTAAATCTATGTGCCACATGAGCGAATCCAACACCACAGACATGCTGATGTGCAGTTTGAACTCAAGTAAGCATCATGATTCAGAGCTCATTTTGGCGTATGGGATGTGCAGATGTGGCTTGGGTTTATGGTGCTTTTTCCTGCTGTGCTTTTTCCTTTTTTTCCCCTTTTTTGGTCCAGTGGCTCAGGAAGTTGCCTGGGGCTTGTAAGCTGTGGGATCAAATTCCTCTTTAGCCTTTCTTATCTGGGCAGCCTCCAGCAATTCACTGTCTCTGGGCTGCGGCTTCACGTCTGTGAAAAATGAGAAGTCATAACGTCGCCTGTTTCCCACAGTTGGTATGAGGATAATGGAGGAACATCAAGGTAGCAGAGTGCTTTTTACTTGGAAAGTGCTACTCACACAACATTTAATTTAAGGGACCTATATAAAATATAGGAATAAACCCTAGAAAATGTGGAAGAATGAAGCTCAGTGCGTCTGAGCATGTACAAAGTGTTTTTCCTTCACCAGCAAGAAATCACAGCCCACCTTTATACAAACTAGAAGAAGCAAGTATTCTGCTGTTTAGAACTCCTTTTTAAGACACACTAACTGTTGATCTTTTTAACGTTGTATTGTTGCCTTTTAAATGGACATAACTGCTGCCATTCTTATTCACTATAATGGATTTATTGCTCTTAATTTGCTTTGTTTTGTTCTGTTTTATTTTGGCCTATTAAGGTAAACCGCTTTGACTTTCTCAGCATAAAAAGTCATATATGTAATAATCTAAATGAAAACTGAATTAAATATTGTCAAATATGCCTAGAAACCAAGGATGCCACTGTGTCTGTGCTTGCATCCTTCTTTAATTTTATTATGGCATCTTTTTCCCCATTGGTCAAGGTCAAAGCAAACAGCACAGAACACCTTCTGCTACTAACCTGCTTCTTATGAATGCAAGCATCACCAAACAGGAGCACAGGCAGTCTTTAGCATCAAAGGCCTTAGGCATCAAAGGCATCTCAGGACTTACATCCTGCTTGCTGCAGGAAACAAGGAGTCCCATTCCATAAAGGAATTAGGCTAGGAACATAGGCCTCATACCAAGTCATACTATTGGTCCCTCTGGCCCTATTACTGACACTGGCTGGTAGTGGCTCTCCAGGGTTTCAGGCCAGAGTTCTTCAAGCAGCAGACAGGAGTGGTAGTGCATCCCTGACTTCTAGCCAGTTGCATTGCTGCTGCATGCTGGGAGGGAGGCAGGGATAAGGTGTATGGTGTAAATGTCGGGATATCCACTCGGCCAAGCTGATAAAGCTCATCTTCCTACCGAGCCTTCAGAATCGCCCTTCCAACAAATAATTAACGACCTGATCCTTTGATAAGGCCTCAGGCACGTTCTCCCATTCAGCAGAGAATCCAGCACAGGGAAGTGATGAGATTTATGGCTACATCACTATGCTTTATTTCTTACTACGCAGACAGCAAAGAAATATACATCCTCTCTCTTCGAAAGCAGAGAGCAACCGAACAAAGGAACAAAGGAAACAGGAAACCAGTAACGTCACATCCCGTCTCCTGACTCCTGTGAGACTTCCAATAGCCTGGACTGTCTCTGGAATGTAAACAGAGCCTTGTGACTCTAAGCAGCTGCTCAGTGGCAAACAGAAACTAACAGTAAACACACTAGCAGGAACACCAGATCGGCCCTGCTGATGTGTTTGCACCATGCTGCCATTACCTTTCTCCTCCCACTCTACATCCCAGTAAGCAGCAGTGATGCAACTGACCAGAGGTCAGGTGTATGGCAGCATCCCACCACATGGTGTGGTATTGAGACCTCCTCTGCTCTACCCTATTGGTCCAAAGCTAAGGTATGGGGAAATAGTTTCAATTCAAAGAAGGGAAAGTAGTGGTTGAAGTAAAACAGATGAGTTCATATTGAAAGTAAAAGGTTGTGTTATGATAGTCAGATAATGTCAAATAATTTTTTGTTGTACTAATGAAGTTTTTGCTTTAAAAATGCTTGGTGTTTGTCATTATTTGGTTTGATGTTTCACACTGGTATATGCATGAACTGGATTCGAACTTGGCATTTCACTGGTCAGCCCACATTTTTACCAGAATTTAACACAGGCAGAATTCTAGCATGTTACAACTCGTGATGGATCCAAATGTCATCCAAACACAGTTTGCGAGACACATCCAAATAGACTTGCAATACTTGCCTTCACACAAAGCAGGTATTACAACCACAAAAGTTCTTCTCTGGCTTGGATTTAAATCTGAGCCAGAGAGGAACTTAAGCCCTCCTTCCAACTCTGCCTTCTATCCAGCCAGTCACCGCTTGTCTCCAAACCCCCTCCCACCCTTCACCTTTATTTACCGCCCCAGATTTTCCTTACATCACTCTTTAATACATGGATCATTGCTTTGGCTACATACCATAATCAGTGGGTGGCAGATCACATCAATTTCCCAGCACCACTGAGCCATTTCCATGATGTGTTGGATGCTCACGGAGATTACACTCTGCTACACAGGAACATAGAAAGCTGCCTGATACTGAGTCGGACCATTGGTCCATCTAGCTCAGTGCTATATACACTGACTGGTGGTAGTGGTCCAGAATTTCAGGCAAGATTCTCTCCCAGCCGTCCCTGGAGATGATGGGGATTGAACCTGTGACTTTCTTCAGTTAAGTAGATGTTCTGCAACTGAGCTATAGCCCTCCACAAAATATTGATTTCACCGGGTGTGATGGATCTGGAATAGAATGAGAATTGGGTTCAAAGGAACTGAGCTTTATTTTGATTTTGCGTGTAATAGTGCAATTTCTTGCAGCCAGCTCTGAGCTTGGCTAGGTTGATGTTGCATGACCACCTCTCCGTGTGCTGAATCACAGCCATTGTGCACTGAAGCAACTTTATAGCTGCATCAGGACAGAGCTGATAAGAAAACATCACCCATGTTCAGATGCATGCTCAGAATGGGTGTGAATGCTGAAGCCCTTGTCCTCTTTTCTTGCTAGACAACATTCGGAAGCAAATCAGGCGGTGTTTGTTTCTTTTCTTGGTGTGAGAAACCAGAGCACTCTCTCTAGCTCCTAGGTTTTCATTCTCTGGTTTGAATACACATCAAACTACCAGTGAAGAAAGATCAACACATCCTCTCAGGTCTAATTAATAAGCATATGCAGATTGCAGTGACTCAGTTCAACCCACAGGAACTAAAATGTGTCCAGCTTCTTTTTTATGTTGCTTTGGTTTGATCCACCTCCACATTCCAAGAACATATTTCACACAAGCTATTTTCAGTATCACAAGGTAACAAGACAAATATCAGCCAACGGTTGCCATTTAAACAGACAGTTTTAAGATTTCTTGGATGTGTGGTGGGGGTAGGGGGAATCAGTCTCAGCATTAAACTTAAAATTTAAATGACTTATCCTGGCTGAAGGAGTCGTTTTGCCACTTTCTTAAAAAATAGCTTCTAACTAGGGCTGAACAAGAGACACGGGTGGCGCTGTGGTCTAAACCACTGAGCCTAGGGCTTGCCAATCAGAAGGTCGGCGGTTCGAATACACGCGATGGGGTGAGCTCCCGTTGCTCGGTCCCTGCTCCTGCCAACCTAGCAGTTTGAAAGCACGTCAAGTGCAAGTAGATAAATAGGTACCACTGCAGCAGGAAGGTAAACGGCATTTCCATGCGCTGCTCTGGTTTCACCAGAAGCAGCTTAGTCATGCTGGCCACATGACCCAGAAAAACTGTGTGTGGACAAACATCGGCTCCCTCGGCCAGTAAAGCGAGATGAGTGCCGCAACCCCAGAGTCCTTTACCTTTACCTTTTTAGGGTTGAACAAAGCCCTCAGTCACACATTCATCAGAATCTTCTTCTAAAGGGCAGGGAGAAATTCAGGGCCATCCATGAGACAAGAGGAGGTGGCAAGGAATACTCAGGAATTTCAAATGGGAAGCTTATAGTACTTACACAATGTAGTGCAAGGCGGTCCGAGAGTTGTTATTTTTTAAGTGAAATCAAGCCACTTAGCTGAGCTCTCACTGACAACATGGTTTTGCAGGGTTTATACATTGAAAACGGGGCTGCTAATGCCCCTGATAAGGCGTCATGTGCTGATGCTGCCGCCGTACCCAGGCATTACAGTATACAATGGCAGCTCCCCTACAAGGGTGAATCACAGCACTGTGGAGGTGGGGCAGTTTTTATTGGGACAGCAGCATGGAGGGAAAGGACTGGCCCCGCCCCACCACCACACCTCATGTGCCATGGTCCTGATTTCTGCGCCCAGACACGGCTGCTCCTTTTGATTGTGAACTGCATTATACATTCCAGGAATCAACTCACTTGGCTCGCAAACATCGTGACAGCAGCTTCCATGTGGTCCAGGAAACTTTGGCAATACATATAGCAGGGTTGTGGATCCCCTGGGCCCTCCAGAAGTTGCTGGACTTCAATCCCAATCAGCATGGCCAATAGTTAGGGGTGATGGGCACCACAATGTAGCATAGTCTGGATGTCCACACTTAGCTAACCTTGAACTCTAGGAAGCTACAATTTTGCGCTTCCACTGTATGGTGAATGCAGACTTGTAAAACCTGACTTGGCTATCATTCAGTTGCCCATTTCTTCAACTTTCTCCTTCTCTCTCCTCAGTCCTACTCTCATTGCCCCCTCTACCCATTTCATACATGGAGATTGGCATCACAAAATTCAGAGAAGTATGAGTTTTGAAGGGGTGGAGTAAATCTTTGAATGATCCCTCATTTTATCTTATTTTCAAATCCTGCATGTAGGGGGAAAATGTGTTACAGAGAAGGTGAGCCTGAAGACTTATTTTTTCAGTGGTGTGGGGGGGAGGAAGGGAGGGAGGGGGAGTTTATTGCAACTTTATTCTGCTGATAGCATAAAGTGGCTCTACGATGTACCTAATTGCAAGTTAATTCTAATGTGTGAACATCTGCAGAGTGCTCGGAAGTGGTGCCTGCCACCTTTCCTGTGCATGCGATTGGGTTATGTCTGGAAATGGTCCACTTGGGGCTTAGGAGGCTTCCATAAAGCACTTAACACTGTCACTTGTCAGCACAGAAAGACACAAAGAGAGATAAGGTTTTGTTAGAGTGGAGAGACTGGGTTCAGATCCAAGGAAATGTTTTTGGCTGCTAGTCAAGTCTCTTCTACTACTCTTTGAAGGATAATGATGATGATGATACTGTAATAATTGTAATATGCTGTGTATATCTAAAAGGGAAATGTTAACCATTTACCTACTATATTTATTGGATCGTGTTGCAGCAGATTCATCATCACAGTAAGAAAACACAGAAACATTCCTAGAGCACTTTTCCCCCAGGAACTCTCCAGACATCCTTTTTGTGGTGCATTCATGACAATTTGTGTACAGTCATACCTCAGGTTGAATGTGCTTTGGGTTGAGCGCGTTCGAGTTGCGCTCTGCGGCAACCCGGAAGTAACAGAGCGCCTTGGTTCCAGGTTTTGCTGCTTGTGCATGCGCAGATGCTCAAAATGACGTCACGCACATGCGCAGACGAGCCATCGCTACTTACGTTTGCTTCTGGATGTGAACGGGGCTCCGGAACGGATCCCGTTCGTATCCAGAGGTACCACTGTACGTGACTCTATCGAGACAGTCATACATGACCTCGCTTCCATACTGTTTGCAACTACAACAGTTTTGGGATGCTCACACTCCTTACCTTTCAATCAGTGCATGTCCCATAACTATCTTCTGAAATCCTGTAACTTTGCATGCCACAAATATTCTGGCAACTTTTCTGTCCCCCTTTTGTTGTGCTGTAGCCCCTCTGGACAGCAAGCATGTGGCAGCAGTGAGCAAGCCTTGCAAAGTAATTAGATACATCTTAGGGTCACTTTAAATAAAATTGCAAAGCTTTTTTTTAAAAAAAAAGTTGAATAAACACACACTCTCTCTCTTTCTCTCTCTCTCCCCTCCACCCCCTCCCCAGAAAAAGAAAGGTGTTCAAGTTCACCTTCTCCATGACGCAGGTAGTCTAAAAACCATTCCAATGCAGGTGCAGACAGGGGAAAGACACAACTTTTAAAAGGCTTGTTGAAAGAGAAAGGTCTTCAGTAGGTGCTTCCAGAAACATTTGGCTGCTTACTGGTTGAAGCCAGGAAGCTTCCCTAGATGGGCCATTAACCTGATCCGTTAGGACTCTTCTTTCATTCTTATATGCATTTTGCTCTTAAATTCTTCCAGTTCATGTGGCCTCCAGAGATTAGAAGTCTCATCTTGAAATGGTACAGGCACAATTGTCAGATGCAGTGGTTTGTTTATCTAGAAGGCACTTTAGCCACTATCACAACCTGGTATTTCATCAGTGAATCTAGAAACACATCGGGTGTCCAGGAGGAAGAAATGAATGACAACTGCCTCAAATCCTCACCACCTCATCAATGAGTCTGTTGTTCATCATTACCTGGTCCCTCATACCAATCTCCACATTTCTCAGGAGAGTTTCTGTTAGTGGTTCCCCCCCCCCATGGTGGTTCATATTCACCAAAAGCTATAGATTCAGTATTGCGGACATGATTCTATGGAACTCCCGCCAGGCTGAGATCAGACAGGCCTTATTCCTGTAGAAATTTGGGCACCTGACAAATACCTTTTCATGTTGCATTTGCTCTTTGGGGTGATGCCGGCCCAACGGTGACCAGTTTCTGTGGGGCTTACAACAGGGCATGAGGACAACATCCCATCCCTGTTTGCGTATGTGTCCAGTCAAGTGTGGGAAATGTCAACACACTCTCTGCTTTAGCTTCACACTCACACATGCATAAACAGCTATATTTACACTCGGTGGAACATCTTAGATCTGAGACTACTAAAAATCGCTGGGAAGGAGAATCCAGCACATTGCTTGAAGTGTCTGTAGTATTATTAACCGTCCTTTTCAGCAGGTACGGGGGTGTTTTTTAAGACCAGTGACTCACCCCCTCCCCACTCACAATTTCTTTGTCATCCCAAATGATAGGTCCTACAAATGCCACTGCTAGCCTCCAAGCGCTAACATCTGCTGAGATGATGCTAGGCTTAACATTTCTAAATGCTCTGCCTGTGACACGTTTCCAGACAGCAGGTTAGGGACTTGTTAAAACTCAGGCAATGTTTGAGTTTTCCCCTTCTTTGCTAGGAAACCAGATGGTGCTAAATCCCTGTGGAGTACGTAGCATGATTTACTTCTCCTTCGATAACGTCTCTCTCTTTTCCTTTTTTCTTTTTTTCCTTTTGCTATTTGCATGGTGGGAGAGAGATGAAGCTGATATTATTTCTTTCATCTTCCTGGTGTGGAAGGGGGTAGCATAAAACACAAATGTGGTAGGACCGCTGCCCTGAGAGTTTCTGGTTGTTGGTTTTTTAAAAAACAGCTTCTATGATAGAAGGTTGGGACGCGGGTGGCGCTGTGAGTTAAATCACAGAGCCTAGGACTTGCCGATCAGAAGGTCGGCGGTTCGAATCCCCGTGATGGGGTGAGCTCCCATTGCTCGGTCCCTGCTCCTGCCAACCTAGCAGTTCAAAAGCACGTCACAGTGCAAGTAGATAAATAGGTACCGCTCCGGCAGGAAGGTAAACGGCGTTTCCGTGTGCTGCTCTGGTTTGCCAGAAGCGGCTTAGTCGTGCTGGCCACATGACCCGGAAGCTGTACGCCGGCTCCCTCGGTCAGTAAAGTGAGATGAGCGCTACAACCCCAGAGTCGGTCACGACTGGACCTAATGGTCAGGGGTCCTTTACCTATGATAGAAGGTTATGCTTTAAAGGTAAAGTCAGCAGCCTGCAGCCTAAAAGCTGCATGTGGCTTTTAGCCTAACTTGATGTAGGTGGCAAGGAAAAGGGAAAGTGGGTGGGAAATAATGGAAGGGAGAGAGAGGAAGAAAGAGAAAAAGGAGGGAGAGATAGGTCTGGCTGATGTAGAGACAAGGGCTTCCACATGGCCCTTCCTGCTCCCACCTCTCCTGCTCCACTGTCTCCCAGGATCAGGAGAGGGTTGAAGCAGGAGGGGCAGGAACAGGTTACATGCAGGCAGACGGGATGCGGGTGGCGCTGTGATCAAAAGGTCGGCAGTTCGAATCCCTGTGGCAGGGTGAGCTCCCATTGCTCTATCCCAGCTCCTGCCAACCTAGCAGTTCGAAAGCACACCAGTGCAAGTAGATAAATAGGTACCACTCTGGCAGGAAGGTAAACGGTGTTTCTGTGTGCTCTGGTTTCCATCACGGTGTTTCATTGCACCAGAAGCGGTTTAGTTATGCTGTCCACATGACCCGGAAAGCTGTCTCGGCCTAAAAGCGAGATGAGCGCCGCAACCCCATAGTTGCCTTTGACTGGACTTAACTGTCCAGGGTTCCTTTACCTTTTACCTTACATGCAGACGGAGTCTCTCACCTGCTGGCACACAGCTTGGGTGGGGAAGATACATAAGGTTCGGGTAGGGCCTCTCTGTTGTGGCGACTGCTTTATAAGGTGCACACCTAGGAGTAGCTGAGAGATGTAGGATTGGTGTGCATGACTTTTCCTAACTTGTAAGTACACTTTTGACAAAGAGTTAATTCCTCACTCAGGGCATTCCTTGCCTGACAGCGCCGTGGCATCTGGTGCATTCTTGTGAGCAGAAATAACTTCCATTCTCATCTTACGTTAGTTGGGTTTGCAGGGGGTACTATCCTATGGCTTCATTAGTTAGAGCGGGGTTTCTCAAACCTGGGCCCTCAGCTGTTGTTGGACTGCAACTCCCATCATCCCTTGCTATCAGGACCAGTGGTCAGTGATGATGGGAGTTGTAGTCCAACAACAGCTGTAGACCCAGGTTAGAGACACACTGAGTTAGAGAATAATTGCCAACTTCCACAAGTGAACATGAGAGTACAATTTGGTCTAGTATCAGTTATGGGTTTATATTTCTTATGAATGCTAAGAAAAAACCACAGTACCCCCTGTGGCATTATGGAGAGTAATAAATTCAACTGCTAGATTATTTACAGTGGTTTGACTACAAAACAGCTGCTAGAAAGAAATGCTTAGGCAACAGCTATAATATTCCACTGAAATGCTATTGGCAAATGACTAGTGGTGCAGAAAGATATGATATGATGGGATGGAGAGGGGAAGGGAGGGAAGGGGAGGTGGGAAAGAGATTCATTTATTGGCTTAAGATTGGCAGCATTATTAACTTAGCTTTTCTGGATGTTTCCTTTCTCTTCCTGAAGTTTCTCAAAGGGAAAATGCCATTATTCCTTATGAGAAAGTTTTTGCTCTTTTAATCTTTGCTCTTTTTTTCTTCAGAAAGAGATGCAGTTGTTTACTTGTATCTGTAATATATACGGTGCTTATCAATCTTCTAATGTTGGTTGCCTTTCAGAAAACCTGATATTTATACATTTTACAACGATGTCATTCAATCTTGTAGCTAAAATCAAGGACCATATCTTAGCATCTACATTTAAAGGAGAACTTCGTGTATGTGAACCTGGTGGTGTTAGATCTTTATCAAAACTATCTTTGCTACAAGCCATGAGTTAGGCAATTTGTTGATTCTAATGGCTGCTGTTATAATTTGCAACAAGGGGTAGTCTTTGATTTTTCAGATACTATGTTATTTGGATTTTGGTCTGTGATGCTCCCTCTCCCCTCCTCCCCCCATTACAATTTGCATTTTGATAAGAGTTCAATATGTGATTAATATGTGTAGAAAATGTTCACGGGTGTGTGAATCAGAAAGTAGTATAATTTTGCGTTGTGTGTTAGAAGTAAACCAATCACTCTTCTTCTTTTTTGCCTTGTGCTTGAAAAGCAAAATTTCGGGTGGTGAAACTTTGCACATCACAACATTCCAATACCAGCAGAGGCTGTTCCTGTTGAGTATAGTATGATAGACAAGAGCCCAGTTAGAAAGGAAAAATTCAGTGTTTGTTCAAAGTAACATTGCTGCTACATTCTGGCCCGGATAAACCATTGTGGAAAAACTGGCTCAACAGGGAGCTGAAGTTAGGCATTCCTTGGGTCCTAAAACCAGAAAGGAGGCACCATTCTAACACCAGTGGGGAAATTCAGTTCAGTTCACATTTAAAGGCAAACCTATTTAATTCTCATTTCCCAAAATAATACACTAACCAAAATGCAGCTGCCTTTCAGAATTCGCGCTGAATTTTTCAAGGCAGTTCTTCAGCCAAGTAACATGTACAAAAACTCACATATTTGGGGAAAGTGTGTATAGGAACGCATATGCGTTAGTGAAAATAAGGTACAGAAATGCATTGTGTTAGGAGGCTGGAAAACCTGTGCATATATGTTAGGAGAAACTTGCACTAAAATGCCGGTGCATTACATTTAATTATTATTAAAATAATAATAATCCCAAACTGATGTAGAAATGAATGGAGGCAAATAATGTGTGGTCAGGGGAGCCCGTCCTGCTTTGCCACCTGTGACAAAATGGGAATGTGCCACTTCCTGCTTCACCACACCTGCCCCAACACATCTGCTGCCTCCAAAACTCAGCAAGAAGTGGACATTCTAGCAGTGGCAGGTGTGGCACTGCCCCTTGTGCTTCCTCCACCTGAGGCAGCTGCTTTACTCCACCTCAAATGTGTGCCAGCTCTGTCCCGAGGGCACTGAAGGCTCCTTGCAGCCATCTAGGCGGGGTTAGATGTGGGCTGCTCCAAAGGATGGGGCTGATGAAGCCCACCAAACTTGCACCATCAGTATCTTCCATCCCTTCCTTCATGTTGAATGAAGTATCTTCCATCCCTTCCTTATGTTGAATGATGCCCATAGCTTTGGGCAGGAAGCAGGAGATGGGGGAGAAAGTTGTGGGGAGCTTGTGGGACAGGGAGAGATAGCGTTCCTTCCTTCAGCCATGGCAAAAGGACCATCCTGTCTGCCTCCCCTTTCATTATACTTCTAAGCAGAAAGCAGATTGCCAGCTCTAATTAATTCCACTATCGACATCCACACTAAATTACTTTGAAGAACTTATTGAATGGTGTTTCCAAGAATATGATCCGTATTGAAAGGATGATGGATCTACTGAACTCCAGAGATCCCGCTGGGAAGGGAAAGGGCCACTGGAATGTACTAGCTAAGACCCAGCCTCTCATTGATCTTCTTCCTTTAACGGACGTTCCTTGGAGCACAGTTCTGACACAAACAGCATTCCTTTGTTGAAACTGGAGTCACAGCTGGACAGCTCCATTTGTGGCAGTGAATGTGCCTCATAGGTTCACCTTCCAAACTCTGTGGGCTCCAAACTCAACGGAAAACGCATGGTGTTGTGGTTAGAGGTTCGGATTAAGACTGAGGAGACACAGATCCAAACCCTCACTCAGCCATGAAGCTCATTGTGTCTTGTAGGGCCAGTTTCCCTCTCAGCCTGACCTTCCTCACAGGGTGGTTGTGAGAACAAAAAGGGGGAGGAGACCACATACACTGTCTTGAACGCCTTGGAGGAAAGGTGGGCTATAAATATAATTAATTAAACAAATTATCAATTAAATGTGAGTTTTCTGGCTGGGCACTGCTGCCAATGGAATGTCAAGTAAATGGCACTGGTCCAACCAGGCTTTTTCTTACGTTGTTCTGAGTGTTTTTCTTTTTTTCTTTTTTTTCCCTGCAGTGATACTTTTAATTTTATATTTATTTAATTTGATCTTTTCAAGCAGCCCTCCGCAGTCTTATTGGCATGGATGGAGATTAAAATCCTAACCTCCCCGCTGGCAGTTAGATAAAAGGTGCTGACATTCTAAAACAATAAAAACCTTTTCAGCTCTACAGCACTTCAAAAAGCCTTCTGTATATGATGGAAAAGCTTAGAAAGGACAAGAAGCAAGAGAGAGAGAGAGAGAGAGAGAGAGAGAGAGAGAGAGAGAGAGAGATTCAAATATGTGCTGAAACAGTTCAATGCGTGTGTGCTCCCCACCCCCACATAAACCATTCATTTTTCACCCTCTGCAGTAGCACAAACTTTGCAACATTTTGGAGCCACCCTAATAAATGTGTATATTATTTCCGTGTATTTTGTGTGTGGACTCTATATTAACAGAGCTGGGTGAGTGAGCTAGTGATTGATATGTAACGTAATAAAGGAGTAAATTGCTGCTGGCAGCCATTGTTTC